GGCAGTGTTTGATTCCGCTGTACATGAGGTCATTACGTGTCAGAGATGACTCAACGGCACCTAACAGCAGCAGCCACATGAAAAAATAAAACACATCATTTAAAAATCACAACTAAAATATTTGCTTAGCAACATTACCCAAATTAAGCAGGTATGACTGGATCAGAATGACTCGTTTTCAAATAGGAGACTCCTTCACGAGACATGACTTGCCCCCATTGAGTAAATTCAGAAAGCTGCAATGCACGCTCTAAAGGCCACTCTAAGTGTGTGGGTTCTACATACATCCTGAGCACAGAGCAGTCCTCAGAAAGTGGTGGCCACTCTGGAAGGAATAATGCTTGTTGTGATGTATAACTCTGCAATGTGTATAAACAAGAACCTTCTGACATTACAGGTGAAATTTTAACTGTCTGTGAAGCCACCAGAATAAAATGGGACCCTGGAGAGTTATTTGAAAGGTTTAAAAAAAAATTTATTTTCATAAATTAACACACATAACAGTGGCAATTTTAGAGTCACAAACTACCAAACAGAAAAGAAATTGCAGGGGTATCATGTATACCAATGTTACCAAAATGTACAAATTTCACTGAACTATTGACCATGATAATATATAAACACTTCAGGCAGCTATTTACTGGCCCAGACCAGCCCAAGGAGATGCCAAGGCCTCTCACCAAGACTTCAAATCCAATTCAGCACCAGAGAGAGACTTGTGAAAACACAAATAACAAGCATCAAACTTGAGTGTGCTGCGGCACATGGTGAGCTGTACAGGTGCCCCTAGTTTACAGTCAAAACAACTTTGCTGCTCAATTTATGGTTAGATCGAACATTAAACTTTGATTTTAGTAAAATTAAGCTTCTCTCACTATTTAGCTTAATAAATAAGGAGTTCAGTTCCGGTATGGAGTGAGCCCTTCCTTGCATGAATTCAGAAAAGGGTCCTCCACACCTCCAGACAATTATTCTTACTTTGGATACAGCCATCCACAATGTGGTATTTAAGAGGTCCTTTCCATGATACCAGGGGAAAAGCTTACAAAAAGAAAGCAAAACAAAATCTCCAAGGGAATTAAAGAAAGCACCAACTGCATACCTCCCCCACACCCCCCAGAAATGGGAGGAAAGTGGCACTGCCTAAAAGGTGGCCTTTCGTGGAGCTTAGTGAACATGGTCTTGATCGTAAGAGAGGGAGCCCAGCCCGGAGATGGAGCGCTGGCTCTGCAGTCCCTCAGCCTGCACCAAAGCCTCAGCTCTGCGGCTCAGTCAGGTGGGTGGGGAGCAGCGGTGGCCTAAGTATGTGCCCAGAGAGCGGGACTTAAAACTGAGCTCAGGTTTGCTTTGGCGTCCATGCAAAAGACCCTTTCAGGCAAAACTGTGACAAAGTATCATGATTTTCACAGCTCTAGGAGGAGCGCTGAATTTTAGGATTCACAGCACGAGTTTCTGAGCTTTTCAGGCTCTGAGTAAGGCAAACACTACATGTCTTTCCACTGTACCTCCCTCAGTGGTAGTTCTTAAGAGTAAGGTCAGTAAGAAAAAAATGGACATAATCTGCTTTAGCAGGTGATGAGGTACGTTCAAACTAATGGAGAAATGAAGCTGGAAAGGAGACCACATGAGAAAAAGGGGAGGAGAGGATGGGGATAGGGTGGGTGGGAATTAGGTGTAGCTCTAAACTGGAGAAAAAAAGTTTCAGTGAAAAGATGACGGGCAGAGCCCTGATTGGACCTGAGATTTCTCTTCTCTTTCCCATATTAAAAACACTAAACCTATGGAGGTTAGCTGTAATTGAGTAAGTTACCACTGGGATGGAAGTCCCCACACCAAGTCACACTCCAGAAGCCAACCTCCTGTAGCCGCAGCAGCATGCCAATGGGTGCTGCCCATTTCCCTCTATGGACAGCACTGCAACAGACCTGGGACTGCAGGACCATTGAAAGCCCAGCACTCGGCTGGGTGGGCCAACGGCCAACATGAACGCTAAGACAGGTGTGGCAGGGCACTATCATGACCTGCATGTCCACTGCAGGTAAGTAATTTCAGGTAAGCACTGGGAGCCCCTTCTCAAGTCTGGACTGGAGAAAGGCTAGAGAGGGTTGCCCTGAGGGCAACTTCTCTCCTACATTCCTAAGACAAGGAAGGGCTGGAAGGACTTCCAAGAGCGCAGGTCTCCATTTCCCCCAGCTTACATTCCCAGGCTCCAATGAGCCAAATCACTGCTCCTGGCCCTTTCAAGTGCCACGCCCACAGCCAGCAAACTTGACATTTCTCTCTGCAACGCTGGTGATTCCACAGCTGTGCCCACATTAACTTCAGTCTGCTGTATGGCATGGCTGCCACCTGGCTGATCTGTCTGCAGTGGTGACGGAGCTAGACACAGGGGTCTGTCGACTCCCTGGTAGTGAGCACCTAAAGTGTCTGCACAAGGGCACAAGGCCTTCATTCACTCCACTCACTACCTGAAGTGAAAAGACAGAGAGAGAAGCATTTAGTGTCTAAGACCCCTGTCCCAGGAAGGGAGAGGTGTTGAGGTGAACCACAGGTCACGTCTATACAGTCTGGGCAAAGCGGATGTAGAACAGCAGAACAAGGTTAGCATCATTAGGAGCCAGAATGGACGCTTGGCTCTCGTCTAATCCAACTGGCCATGGCCTTAGAAGCCTCTGTAGATTACCAGGGGTACAATTCAGTTACCTAAACACTATTTCTGAGGCAGCGGGCCTAAATGACCGATGTGGCACTCCCCCCTCATTCACCTTTTATTTTTCTGCTCATGTCAGTTGCTCCAGTGTGGACAGACTGTCAACCTGCAAAGGAAAGGCACACAGAGACCCACCCCAATCCCATCTCCCTGCTACTAACAAATGGGAGAGAAAAAAAAAAAAAAAAGACACCTAGGAGAGATGCCAATATTCAAGGCTGGCACTGTCACTGTTCTCCAACAGACTGAGAAAGTCTCTGGGGCTTTCACAGTTCCCACCTGCTTCACACAGCAGGGGCTCCTAGGATGGGAAGAGGTGGTCCACTGTCCTGAGGTCACGTCAGCATCCCACTCACCAGTCAAGGAATGTTAATTCTGAGCTCTTGTTTTGAGAATAAGAGAGAGAGAGAGAGAGGGAGGAGGTCACACACAAGGGGAGGAGAGGCAGAAAGCAGGGCAAGGGCACACAAAGATTAAGCAGAAAAGGAAAGAGACTTCAGGGCCTCTGACCAACACTGCGTCCTTCTGCCCAGACTCTTGTAGGCACAAACGAAGAAACTCTGCTAACTCTGGTATTCCACATCAATTCCAGTAGGTTTGACATAGGAACCCAGAGTACAATGACATGCCCTCGGAGTGGGCAGGCTGTGGAATTTCTGACCCCACATGAGAATGCATCACTGGATCTGAGCCACCCCTAGTCCCATCTCCCACCCTCGCAGCAGGCTGCTCTGACAGCTGCAAACATTCAGTGCTGGACTCGGTCACCACCCAAGCTGTTGTACCCAACTTTGTGACACACCACCATTTCAGATAGAGCCCATGAAAACCACACCCAATCTTAGTGTTTTTAAAAAAATGAGTGGGAGAGAATTGTGATCTTTCTTATGTCATCAAAATAAATACATCTCCTTAGTGGGTAAGAACCCAGATGGAAAAATGTGCCCCCTCATGAGTTACATGAGAAGCTGGATATGGGAAGGGATTGCTTAAAACATGTAAATGGGAAACCTATCATCCCATACCATGCACCCAAAACTGGGTTGAATGCCTATCACAGATTCTTAAGACTTGTCCTGTTTTTCTTTTCAATATCTTAAAAAAAATAAAAGTTTCAAAATCACATTTAAAGGCTCCAAACATAAAAAAAAAAAAAAAAAAAAAAAAAAAAAAAAAAAAGGGGGGGGGGGGGGAATAAAACAAAAGAAAACATCAACACCACAACGTTAAAAAGTGCAACTGACTTCGAATGGGGCCTGGATGGGCTCCTCTGGCACTAGTGATACACAGTCACAGAGAGGAAGAAACAATGGGGAAAAGCCGCACACACGCACGCACGCACGCACACACACACCCCATATACCCCTCCCAGGTTCTGGGCAGACGGACTTAAAGGATTAGCAAACACAACAGCTCATCTTCCCTCAACTACTGAAATGAGCCAGTGAGACTCCAAAGGACAAGACGCCACGTCCACCTCCCTAAGCCACGTTTCTCCTTATCTCGGTCTAGCACCACCGTAAACAATGCAGAACTTTCATATGGGCGTGCAAATGCTGTGAGACCTTGGAATCCTAGTGTTAAGATCTGCTCCTGCGTCCTCCTCCTGCAGATGGCAGAGATGGGGAAGAGGCGGCCAGATGTCACTGAGGACCATTTCCAGGAAAAAGGGAGCATTCCTGAGGTTCTACACTCAGCAGTATTAGTCAAGGACCCTCCTTCACCATCACTAAACAGTCTACACCTTGAAATAGGCAATAATTCATGGACTGTGCATTTCGAGTGGTTTAGGTGGTAGGACAGAACTAGGCAGTCTCTTCCAAGGAGGCCCCCAAACCCAAATAGAGACCCTCAAATGACTTGCTCCTCAACAACCTGATGACTGCTCCTGTTCCTCTTCCTTGGCAAAGAAGGCCTCCAGTTCCATTAGCTTCTGTATCAACAGTGCGTCCAGCTCTCGACTCTGCAGGGCTGCTTTCTGGGCCCTGGTAAAGCTGCCCGCCACCTTGACTTTACCACGAGCTCTCCTCTTTCGCGGGACCGTAAAATCTTGAAATTCTAGAACTCGCTTCCTCTTCTGCTGACTGATGGAGATGAGCGTACCATTTCGTTCCTTAGGTTCCTCAAAGATGGTTTCTAAACACCTAAGGATGGAGCACAAAACAGAATCACCAACAGGACTCAACTCTGACCCCTGGGGCTCATCAACCCATCTTGTCAACAGGGGCTGAAAGCTACTCACACCAACACTTACTTACTCAAGTGTTTCCTCTGGCCAGAATACATATACATATATATATATACACACACACATATATACATATATATATATACACATATATATACATACATATATATATATATTTGGTAGTGGTATGAAAAAAATAATATATATTTATGAATATGTAATACATGCACACTGTGGAAAAAAAAAACAAACCTCAAAATGGACAAAAGAATACAGAATAAAAGACTCAGTAACACTTCTTTTTGTATATCCTTCTAAAAGTCATGCAGTGCATAGACGAACATATATAATCAGGGGTTGGCTCTTCCTTGTAAATGGCCAGATAATAAATATTTTAAGTTTTGTGAGCCATTTAGGCCTCTATCCTAAATTTTGTTTTTTTTCCTTTCCTCTCCCACCTCCTTTTTAAATAAACCTTTAAAAATGTAAAAACCATTTTCAGCTCCAAACCAAAACTAAATCTACTGCCATCAAGTAGATTCTGACTCATAGCGATCCCTGCTGGGTTTCCAAAGCTGTAAATCTTTATGGAAGTAGATTGCTTAATCTTCTTCCCGAGGAGCAGCTGACAGGTTTGAACCACTGACCTTCTGGTTAGCACCCAAATGCCTTACCCACTAAGCCACCAGAGCTCCTTATTCTTAGCTCATAGACCATGACAAACAAACCAATGGCTGGATTTGCCTGAAGTTTGTTAATTCATGGCATATAGACTCCATTTTCTGTTTGTCTGTTTTCTTACTAAAAGGGTGGCAAATAACCTTCATTGTCCTATACACCATGTGTTTCATTCACTCTTTTTATTTGTTATATAGAGTATTCCACTATAAGGATGGACCATAATTTAACAAGAACCTCATTAATGGGTGTTTACATTGCTTCTACTCCCTTACTCTTTACTAACAATATTGCAATGAATGCCCTATACACATATTCAGTGCACATGGACAAATATATCTTATAGGATAAAGTCCTTGGACTCCTCCTGCTACATTCTGTGTATAATAAAACAAAGTGCAACAACAAACCCAACCCACTGTCATTGAGTTAGATTCTGACTCATGGCGACCCTTCAGGACAGAGCAGAACTACCTCAAAGGGTTTCCAAGCCTGTAAATCTTTCTGGAAGCAGACTGCCTCATCTTTCTATCGAGGAGAGGCTGGTGTGGTAGAACTGCTGACCTTTTGGTTAGCAGCCAAATGTTTTAACCACTATACCAACCAGAGCTTCTCTATACACAATAACTCACTCAATGTCTTGAAGTCGAATCTGACTCATAGCGACCCCTCCTTGGGTTTCCAAGGCGGTATCACTATGCAAGTAGATTGCTCAGTCTTTCTTCCGAGGAGTGACTGGTGGGTTTGAACTGCCAGTCTTCTGGTTAGCAGTCAAATGCCTTGGGCACCACGCCACAATAGGCAACTAATTAATGTTCATTGACTTAAACTGAATCCAGACCTAAAGGTAGCCTAATCAAACTCCTTCAGTGTGCCTGGATTTTGAGGAGTATCTGAGGATATGGAATATTTAGTGAAAATACAAGCACAAACTATAACCACCTAATACAACACACATTTCCTTCCCACTCTATCTCAAACGCAAACCCCAATTAAGGAACTGAGAATTGAAAACATCAATTACAGCCTTCCAAGCCCAAACCTTGGCAGATCTGAACATATGGCCCTTCTGAAATGAAAGAATTAGATGTTTACATCATTTATTTCAGAAGTTTTCCTAATCCATTATTTCCCAGCCACATGTACTTACCTATTTGCAGGAGGGGACTTATAATTCTTGTTGGTATATATCTCCTCTAAACTAAATTCCTTCTTCTTTAACCTGAAAGGAGAAAAAAATTAATTCTTCATGTTCTATTGAGAGATTGGTACCTTAACCATTATGATGATTTTGACCCATTACGATGATTATTTTACAAAAGTACTTCTTAATCTCCAAACATTGGTTTTTTTTTTCCTCTAGTTAGCTACCTTTTGGTTTATTGATTTCCAACTTAAGTGAATATGGTCTGTACACTAATTCTTTGAAATTTGGTAAAACTGGCTGTTAGACTGAATTGTGTCCACCCAAAATGGATTGCAAATCCTGACCTCTACTACCTGTGGTTATAATCCCATTTGAGATTGGGTTTTCTTTGTTATGTTAATGAGGCAGCATGAGTATAAGGCATGTTTTAAGTTAATCTCTTTGGAGATATAAAAGAGATCAAACAAGCAAAGGAGGGAGCAGAGATAGGGGCAGACAGACGCCAAGACACATGGATATAACCAAGGGTCAAGAAACAGAAGTTGATGGGACAGGGCTTGCCCCTAGAGCTGACAGAGGGAAAGCCTTCCCTTAGAGCCAACACCTTCATTTTGGACTTCCAACCTAGCAAACTATGAGAAAATAAATTTGTTTGTGAAACTCACTTGTGGTATTTGTTCTAACAGGATGAGATAAGGAAGCGAAGCCCAGGGCTGCTCTTTGTAAGGGTGACTGAGTACTTGGTGTGTACGATGCCTTTTAGAATCACGGTGGAGAAAATAACTGCTCCATGTACTACCCCCTTCATTTCCTCAGCCTTTCCTGATACATTAGGCCACATGGTTCGCTCAGGCCACAAAGGTGACTGGAGGTGATGTGTGTCATATCCGGACCAAGGCCTTTAAGTGTAAGTGTGATCACCAATAGCTCCCCGCTGCCCTGGTGACCTAGAAGCAGCTGATTCAAAAAGCCTGTGTCTCTAAGCCTGTCTAGGAGGGCCATCCGACCATCATAAGCCTTCATGTAACCAAGAAATCGACTTTCACGTGCAGGCCACTCAAATTTCAGTGTCTACTTGCTAAAGATAGCAAAACTTATTATTCATATATTCATTTACAAAAACAAGCTGGTCAATTGTGCTGTCTAAACAAATCTATATCCTTACAGCTTTTTGTCTGTTTGACAAGAACATGTAAAATATCTCTTTGTAGTAAGAAATTTTTCTTTACATATTTTACATATACTATTAGCTGTTCCCTAGATTAGAACTGCTGTAACTTCTTAATGAATTAAGTAATTTATCATATGTATTGACCCTTTTTTATCTCCATTAATGTCTGTTTTGCCTTAATGTTTATTTATTGGGCTCATTTTTTAAAAAATTCTATTGTGATGTGGGTGCAAATTTACAAAGCAGATTCATTTTACTCACAGCATTCCATGCACATGTGGCTTCACAGCCCTGATTACCATCCCCAAGCATAAAAACTCCCCTCCCGGTGACTATCCCTTCATAGTTCTCTTATCCATGTATTCCTGTCTGTCCGGCTTTCCTTCTCCACAAATGCTGCCTTCTGATGTCTCATGGTTGATCTAGGGTGTGCATCTCCCTAGGGAAGATGTTCTGCTAGTAGCTCTTTCCAGTGTTTGGCAGAGAGTACTCCATGGAAATGAGTACAGTTCTAGGCCCAAAGGATACCATGGGGCCATAGTCTTTTGTGTTTTTGAGTTTTGTTCCATATTTTTCCCTCCCACTCTAACCAAGATCTCCAATTGTGATCCCATTCTGAGTGGATGGCATTGGTAGCTGGGCACTATCTAGTTCTTTTGTCTCAGGGTTGTGAATCCAGAGGTCCCCGTGGTCCATCATATCCTTGGACTTACTGTTTCCAGATGACTTTTTTTCACTTTTCTTTGCTCCAGATGAGGGGAGACCAATAGTTGTGTCTATAGCTTTTAAGACCCCAGTTGCTACTCATCAAAGTAGAATGTAGAACAAGATGGACACACAAAAGTCTTAGTCTTCCAGGTGCCCTCCCTGATATTTTTTCTTTTTTTTAGAGTTCAGTCTTTCTGTAATATGTTTGAGATGTCCCTCATGAAAATATGTAACTGGCTTTTCTGTTCCAGGGTGCCAATCTTCAACTGTCTATTTACTTCTCTTACGTTTATTGGGATTGATAAAATAACATTTATATTATCTTTATATCTTATTTTTGTTCTAAATTTCCAGTGCTTTTCTTCTACTTAACTGACTTGTATTTTTATACCCTACTCTTTGGTTGGAAGTTACCTATTCTACTACTATTCTTTAAATGGTTAGCAAGACCACTTACACTTCTCTCAAATAACACAAGGTCGCTGGAACACTTAATTCCCATCAACACTGCTCCAATTTACATCTTATCTCTTTTAATATATAGATTGAACCCGACATTTCTCTTTAAAAAAACAAATATCTATCTACCCATTCATCCAATATATACTCACTACCAACAAGTCAATTACAACTCATAGTGACACCTATTAGGTTTCCAAGGCTGTAAATCTTCACAGAAGTTGACTGACTTTCTCCCATGGAGCAGTTGATGGGTTTGAACTGCTAACCTCCTGGTCTTAAGCACTAGGCAAAAACAGTGCCTTGTATAGTATATAAATGTGTAAAAAAAAAAAAAAAAAAAACGAAAAACCAAACCCACCAACATCGAGTTGATTCTGACTCATAGTGACCCCCACTGAGTTTCCAACACAGTATATCTTTACGAAAGTAGATTGCCCGGTCTTCCTTCCATGGAGTGGCTGGTGGGTTTGAACCACCAACCTTCTATTAGCAGTCAAATGTCTTAAGCACTGTGCCACCAGTGCTCCTTAACATATGTATATACATATATGTGTGTGTCTGTGTGTGTGTGTGTGTGTATACTGCACACATATACACAAATTGGTAAAAAGAAACCTGGTCATTTGGCTTTTAGCTTACCCAGCCTAGATTTTGATTACATCACCATGATTTTATGTAACAAGGTTCTCTATCCCTGTGCCAAACATAGGAAAAATGCTGCAGTAATTCCTATAAATTGGCAACTAGACAGAAAGGCATGATCAGATTCAGGTTCAATTGTTTCTGACAAAGACGACTTTTGGGTAGCCATCAGGAGCAAATGATAAATTTTTTATCAGCAACCAAGGAGGAAGAATGATGAACAACAGTCATTATTTCTTTAGGTATGTGAGTGGTGACAATGTATCAGTCCTTCTTCCATTATGAGGTAGACTATTTCTATATAAAGTCAAACACCATGCTGTCTGGTAACACTGTGGTATAGTCTGCATGGGAAAATCAGGTCAGATACTTGGTTCTTTACCTTTCTTTACCAATTTCCCAAGCAATGAATTGGTTCCCAAATATATAACAAAGATGGAGTTTTTGTTTTCAAAAAGGATCATGATAAAATACTAGATTTAATCATATTTGATGTGTTCCAATTTTCTGCAGTTACTATCCCTTTGGATGTCCTATTTGTGGCAAATGGGAATCTCTTCAAGTTGGTTCTGAGTTCCTTTCTCTTGAACATTTAATTGTGGTTTGCATGAAAGTTTACCAAGCAAATTTGTTTATGACTCAACAATTTATAGTCATTTTATTTTGTGACATTAGTTGCAATCCCCTCAACACAGCACTTTTCCCCCTTTCTCCCTGGATTCCCCATTTCCATTCACCACTCTTTCCGATCCCTTTGGTTTCCTACGGTTGATATATTTTGAGTACATTCCTCATGACTGTTATTGTTCACTTATAAACCTTGTGTTTGGTTGAAAGGTGATGTCCATGAGAGAGTTCAGTTCCAGATTTGTCTAAGGCCCACTGTCTGGCGACTTCTCCCCATCTCTTACCCTTTTTTGGGATCTGAATTTCGTTCTACAATTATTACTACTATTTTTCCTACTCTGCTCAGGAATTTCCATTGTGATTGTGGTCAGAGCAGTCAGTAGTGGTAGCCAGGCACCATCTAATTCTTCTGGTTTCAAGCTAGTAAACACTGTAGTTCACATGGTTCATTAGTATTTTGGACTAATTGTTTCCTTGAGTCTTTGATTTTCTTCAATCTTCTTTGCTCCGGATGGGAAGAGACTAATACCTTAGATGGCTGCTCATCTCACCAAAGTAGGATGTAGAACATTGTCTTTATGGACTATGTGTGTCAATTAACCTTGATAGCTCCCGTGACTAAGGTTCTAAGCCCTTAAACCCAGTGACTCAGTCCCTCGAAATGTTTGGTTGTAGGTAATAAGTTGGCAGAACTTTGCTCCCTGTATGCTCTATTATATACTTAGATATATTTACAATACAAATGTGTGTACAGAAATATTCTATCAACTTATGTATGCTCATGGTGTAGTCCCATACATCACACACCCGTTCACCTTAGATATTTCTAGATAGTTAGAATTAGATAATTCTACCTATGCATCCATTCGTAAATTACTATTATTGAAGGACTGTGTATGTATCAGTATTTACTGTTGTTGCCTTTTGTACTTGCATACCTCCCAGTTCTTCCTTGCTTTGGTCATCTTGTGTTGAGTTCTACCTTACTACATATTGTCTTTCCCTTCACTCAAGTTAGTACATGTATTTAGTGATTTCCCCTCCCTCCCCTTCTCATCCTTGGTAACCATCAACTAATCTTTTTTTCTGTTCATAAATTTTTCTTTTTATACTAGTGGTTTCATACCATTTACCATTTTGAGATTGCCTTATTTGATTCAGTGTTTTGTCCTCCAGGTTCATCCATGTTGTGAGATATTTCTTTGATTCATCTTTGCTTTTTAATGTTACACAGTATTCCATTCTGTGTTTATACCGTAGTTTATCCATTCACCTGTTGAGAGGCACTTACATTGTTTCCATCTTTTTGCAATGGTGAATGATGCTACAATGAACATGGGTGTACATATGTCTATTCATGTCACAGCTCTTATTTCTCTAGAATATATACCTAGCAGTGGGATTGATGGATTATTTCTCTATTTTTACAAAAGCAACATACCATTTTCCAGTGTTGCACACCACT